ATCTACTTGCTCCTGTGATGTAGTACATGTTCGTCACACGATTTGGGGCCTATCCAAAATAATAAGGGAACACCTCTTGGCGTGGCTCAAGAAAGGTGAAGTCAGGAGCATAAACAACTCTATTCTCGCGCGCGAAAATCGTGTGGACCCCAAACGAAGCCTTTCGGGTGATTTATAAGGTCCCACCAAATTGACCTGAGCCCCCCGCTAAGCGACCGCTATCAGGTTGAGGAAGCTAGTCTTGTGCGCACAAAAGAACACCCCTTCAAGTTCCACACCTGGCATATCCAACGCACGCTGAACTGCATACACTCCTCTTCTCTCCCCACCTCCACCAAGCCCTCCCCGCCGCGCAACCAGCCCTCTCTTATCGACTTCTACCCCCCCCCTAACTCGCTTATGAAAAGACGAACATTATTGACCACACGTTTTAACCAGTACTCCGTTCAACTATAAATAAACTCGCTCCATTAGCACCTATCGAAAGTCTACGTATACTCCCCAACTGCTCTTTGTAATTCTCTGACATACAATTTCTGTCTTCGTCCACATTGATAGCATAGTCACTGCCAATTTTTGCAAAGGAAGGACGACCAAGGGTCGGTGCTCTTTGATTTGCTGAAACATTAGTCTCCTGCTCGAGTAAGCTGTGCGTTCCAAGCTACGAAAGGGGGCATAATAGTGAACACAGACACGACCCAAGACATTTAGCAGTCTATTAGACGGGGCAAATCGCAAAATTGGATCGCGAGACACCCATGCAAGGTAAAAAATTGGCAACGAAAAAGTTATACACACCTATCTTCTTACATGACCGCATAAGTCAATTCAGTTAATCACACAATTCCCCTTGGAGGGATTCAAACTGAACCGACCGCAGGGTTAGTGAAAATGCCCTTTTTATATGGGAGTAACAACGCTAAGAGCAGCGCAGGCCCAAAGGCTGGATGGAAGGTCATTTAGCTCAGTCCCTTAATGGGCTTCGGCATCTCATGCGCTCATGTGTGTTTGAGCACAAAGTTGAGGTCAGTTATGCTAGTCGAGCTGCACCGTGACCAAATTAAATTCGGCCGCACTGTTACATGTTGTGAGATAATCCAACGTCAAAAATCTGTTATAATTGCGCCGGTAACGGTTGCTACTAGATCGCTTCCGTCTTAGGACGGTGGCTTACGGGAAAGGACCGCCGCCTCTGCCAATTAAAGCGTCCCCAGCCGTTCAATGCTGGATTTTCACCGGGGCTGATGCGTAGTCAATACACTTCGGTATTAGCGACTCTTGATGATATATCAACAGTGTTCAAAATGAGAGACTTTTGGACATTTTAACCAAAAAAGGTAATAACAAGGGTTACAAATTCTTACCCGATATTTCTAGGCCACCCAGCATTTCAGCACACAATGTTCCAGCATTTTCCGTCAGCCAGTGGGACCAAGTACGAAAAGCCTTGTTGCCAAACCGTTGAGCGTCTTGGTCCAAGGGAACTTCATCCACGTGATCGTGAAGTTTCGAGATCAGCGAGGTCACTTTGGAAATATTCTACATTGCGTCAAAGGATTCAAAGGTGGAATACTTCAGAGTGTTTTTGATTTTCGGAAATAGGCCTGGATACAACTGCGGTGTTTACAGTTCCAATGAAGTCCATAAGTTCCACATAGGCTAGTGATTTTTTCCACCGCGCCATGTCAATGACGGAGTTAATTACCTTTTGTAAGCCCATTGCGAAAACCTTTAAGGAAATTATTAAATTGACCCGCCTGCTTTTCAGCCCAGTAAAATAGAGTTAATCTTTACGTTCGATTATTTCATTTTCTCTGCGTATCTCCTAAATAACTGCTACGCCATTCCATATTTCTGCTACAATCATACCGCATCTGTTTCGTGACAGTCACCTTTTTTGATGTATCAACGCTCGATTTATTTATCTCCTTACACATCGAATTTACGGTCTTAAAATAAGGTCTAATTAACACTCCGGCAGACCTTTGTTGCTCAGCTTTTTATCCAAATTCACATTTTCTCCAGCCTCAGAAGTTTACGGCATGATAACTGTTTACGAAACTTGCTTGTCTCGAAAGACCGAGAACGTCCTATTTTATGCGGATCAGCACGGGTACCTCGAAAAAATAACCGCTCTCTATCTTTGATCAAGTGCTATAATATAAAGGCAGTGATTTTGCCCTTCATACAATAGGTAAGAGTAGATCAACACGGGATGTTACAAAAGCTCCCTCCCCTCATATTATCTAGCACAATTATTTAGTTCGAGCCGTCTAAACGCAAATCGGCGGGGGTCACGGAATCTCCCTTGGACGCGCAATCAGTAAATTGATCATTCTAAGCTTCACTCTGTCACTGGCTATTCACAACCCAATTGGGGCGTCGTACGAAACAATGCTTTATAAAGTGAAATAATAGACTTCATCAGCTATACCGCTCGTGAGAACCCCGAACATGTCGTGTAGTCCAGCGTAATCTGCCTGTACCTGCTGACCTCCAAACCCCTACAAA